ATACAGTTGAGAAAATTGTGTCTCAAGAAGGTCAAATGACTTGCTCAAAGTTATGCAACTATTAGATTTCATCCTGATTCTGATTGTGTATTCTGATATGTTAGCCAACCATCCCAGCATTTTATCACCCACAAATTTTATTAGCATATCTTCATTAAAATTATCAATTAAAATATCAAATGGAATAGGGCCAAGAACAGAGCCCTGTGGAACACTAGATTATCAGTCCATTTATCAATTGTATTGATAATCCAGTCAAAGCAGCAATGAATCTATTTAATCATTCTATAATCCAGCTTAGCTCTCTCTATCTTGTCCATAAGAATATGGAAAAACTCTTAAACACCAGATACATGTTATCAATAGAGCAGAATGGTATGTTGGAAAGAGCATTGACTAGTCCAGGAATCAGAAGAATTGGAATTGAGTCCTAGGTCTGTATAAGTCATTAGTTCCTCTGAGGGGAGAAGAGTGCTAGTGCTTGCACCTTCCATACTTTGGCTTTTGGTCCATTGTTGCTACTTCATGGAGCACTGGATTCCACAAGTACAATCTTCATTTCTTCCTAAGAGGCAAAGGGCTCAGATAGAAGGCTAGATTCTCTAAAAACTTGGTGTACCATTGAGATAATTGATTCCTTGCAGAGAGGACCTTCCTGGGTAAAGACTAGAGTGCAGATCATGAGAGCAGTGACCACGCCTCTCCTTGGATCACACCACCATGAAAACACTGAAAATTTGCAGACCCCTAGAACTAGCTTTGAAAACAGCAGCATGAAAAAGCCTGAAGCTTGGGACAGTGCCTCCTCACTCTCAGGTGAGCAGAGACCTACTTTAACATAGTCCAAAGTCAAGAAATAGGTTAAAAAAAATGATCAAACAATAACAAAAAAGGAACTTAACCATAAGAAGCTACTACAGTGGCAAGGAAGACCAAGATACAAACTCAGAAGAAGACAACAGTATGAAAGTGGCTATAAGCAAAGCCTCAAAGTCAAATGCTAATTGGATACAAACCCAACAAGAATTCCTGGATAAGTTAAAAAAAACCCAGATAAGAGTGGTAGAGGAAAATTTGGGTAAATAAATGAGAGTGATGCAAGAAAAATATGAAAAGAACACTAACAGCTTGGTGAAAGAGGCACAAAAAATACTGAAGAAAATAACACCTTAAAAAATAGAATTGCTCTAATGGTAAAAGAAGCACAAAAATTCACTAAAAAAAAAAGAACTCTTTAAAGAGCAGAATAGACCAAATGGAAAAGGAGTTACAAAAACTCATCGAAGAAAAGAACACCTTAAAAAGCAAAATTGGCCAAATGGAAAAAGAGGTATAAAAGCTCACTGAAGAAAATAATTCTTTAAAAGTTATAATTGAGCAAGTAGAAGCTAATGACTCCATGAGACATAAAGAAACAATAAAACAAAGTCAAAAGAATGAAAAAATAGAAGAAAATGTGAAATATCTCATTGGAAAAACAACTGACCTGGAAAATAGATCAAGGAGAGACAATTTTAAGAATTATTAGACTATCTGAAAGCCATGATTTTAAAAAAATATCTAGACACCATATTTCAAGAAATTATAAAGGAAAACTTCCCTGATATCTTAGGTACAGAGGGCAAAATAGAAATTGAAAGAATTCATCAATCACTTCCTGAAAGAAATCATAAAATGAAAATTCCCAAGAATGTTATAGCTAAATTCCAGAGCTCCCATGTCAAGGAGAAAATATTGTAAGCCGCCAAAAAGAAACAATCCACATATCATAGAGTCAAGGTCAGGACTGCATAAGATTTAGCCGCTTGTACATCAAAAGAACAGAGTGCTTAGAATATGATATTCTGCAGGGCAAAGGAGCTAGGACTACAACCAAGAGTAACCTCCCCAGCAAAACTGAGTATAATCCTTCCAGGGGAAAAATGATATTTAATGAAATATAGGACTTTTAAGTATTCCTGAAGAAAAGACCAGAACTGAATAGAGAATTTGACATTCAGACACAAGACTCAAAAGAAAGATAAAAAAGGCAAATATGAAAGAGAAATCATAAGGGACTTAATAAGGTTAAACTATTTACATTCCTATATGGAAAGATGATTCATGTAACTCCCAAGAACTTTTATCATTATTATGGCAGTTAGAAGAAGTCTGTCTAGACAGAGGGCATGGGTATGAGTCAATTATGCTGAGATAATCTAAAAAAAATAAAGGAGTGAGAAAGAAGTATGCATTGGGAGCAGAGGGAAGGGAAAGGATGAATGGTGGAAATTTCTCACAAAAAAGAGGCACACAGGGAAGAGCTTTTACAGGGGATGGGAAAATAGGGGGGTCACAATACTTGAACCTCTCATCAGAATTGGGTAGAGAGGGAAGAATATTTATACACATTCAGTCAGGTATAGAAATGTATCTTACCCCATGGGGAAGCAGAAGGGAAAGGGCAATAAAAGGAAGGGTAGATTAAGGGAGGCAGTGGTACCAAAAGCAAAACAGGCTTTTGAGGAGTGGCAGGATAAAAAAGAGAAAGACAAACAGAAGAAAATAGGATTGAGGGAAACATATAGTTAGTAATCATAACTGTGAATATGAAGGGGCTGAACTCACCTGCAAAACAGAGATGGATAACAGAATGGAATAGAAATCAGAATCCAATAAGTCATTTACAAGAGACACACTTCAGATAGACACGCACACACACACACACACACACACACACACACACACAGAGGACTGCAGCAGAATCTATTATGCTTCACTTGAAGTAAAAAAGACAGGGGTAGCTATCATTTCAGACAAAGCAAAAGCAAAAATAGATTTAATTAAAAAGAGATAATCAGGGAAATGACATTTTGCCAAAAGGTGCCACAGACAACAATATTAAGCATTTTTATAGCAAGTTTCCCAGATAAAGACCTCATTTCTCACATATGTAGGGAACTGAGTCAAATTTATAAAAATAAGAGCCAATCCCCAATTGATACATGAACAAGAAACATGAACATGCAGTTTTCAGAAGAAGAATTAAAAACTATTTATAGTCATATGAAAAAATGCTCTAAATCACTATTTATTAGAGAAATGCAAATTAAAACAACTCTGAGGTACCACCTCACACCTATCAGAAAAGATCAATGCTAGAGGGGATGTAGGAAAATAGGTACACTAGTGAACCTGGAGTTGTGATCTAGTCTAACTGCTCTGGATAACCATTTAGGACTATACTTAAAGGGTTTATAAAACTGTGCATTCCCTTTGACCCAGCAATATAACCACTAGGTCTATATCCCAAAAAAATTGAAGAACAAGGAAAAGGACCTCAAATATTTATAGCAGCTCTTTTTGTGGTGGCAAAGCATTGGAAATTGAGAGGATGTCCATTAGTTGGGGAATGGCTGAGAAAGTTGTGGTATATCATTGTGATGGAACACTATTGTGCTACAATAAATTACAAGGGGGATGATTTCAGAAAAGTCTGGGAAGGTCTATATGGACTGGTGTGAAGTGAGCAGAACCAGGAGATCATTGTACACAGTAACAGCAATATTGTAATGATGATCAGTTGTGAAAGACTTAGCTACTCTGATCAATACAATGATCCAAGACAATTCCAAAGGACTCATGATGAAAATTGCTATCCACCTCCAGATAGAGAGAGAGAACTGAAGCACTCAGAGTGCAAACTGAAGTATAATTTTCTCACTTTATTTTTCTTGCTTTTTATTTTGGCAACATGGCTAATATGGAAATATATTTTGCATGATTTCACATGTCTAATGGATATCATATTGTGGGTAGAGGAGGGGCTGGAAGGAGGTATAGAATTTGGAACTCAAAAATTTTTTTAAATAATAAAATAAATACTAAAAACAAAATTAGTTCCTCTGAGCCTCAATTATGCCATCTATAAAATGGGGAGAATGATATTTGAAGTGTCTACTTCATAACGTTATTCTGAAGAAATTTATCAAGTTTAGTATACTATATAAATGTGGGCCATGTTGATGATAACCTTTTCTTTATCTTTGATAGTGATCTCTTCAACAAAGGTTGAACTTGAAAGTTTACTCCTCTAGGTCTATTGACAATTCATCCTTTCCCAGAATCTGCCCCCAGGGTTACAAAGTACAGATTAACCAAATAGAGAAACAAACTGTGCCTTTCTCTCTCTAGTCTTATCAGAAGTCAGAGTCAAGGTGAACTATGGAGATCTGACCTGTGTCTCCACCATATCCTGAAGAAGGACTAGCTCTGTATGTAGTAAAGAGAATAAGGGTTTTTGGATTATTTAAAGAAACAATGATGGAAGAAACAATGGCATGGCTATCATTCTAACAAATGTAGATGGCATTATGAAGGGATCCAAAGGGATCAGCCTGGATCAAATGAGATCTATTTATAAAATGCTTAACATAGCACCTAGCACATAGTAGACACTTAATAGATGCCTGTTCCCTCCTTCTACTCCCTTCCAGCTCAAAATTGATTTTGCTGCCCTGTGGACAGCCCGTCACACATGAGAGGCCACTGTAATAAATACATGGTGAAGTAAATTCAATATGAATGCCAATCTGAAGTGATGAAAATTTGTGGAAATGTTTGACTTGGTGGTGGAAGTAGAATGGGCATAGCATCTGGGTTAAAAAGTTGACTTTTACAGAATTTTAAAAGTTTTTGTTTTAATTTTTTATTAAGCCATCACCACTTATTGAGAACTCACTGCATGCATGAGAGCGAACCAGGTCTCATGGAATCTCAAGAGATGGTCTCAGTAAAAAACCTTGTCATTAATGGCAGTTTTACAGAAAATTATACGTTCTGATTTTTACTGGAGGTTAATAGAAGTCAGAGTTTGGGCAACCTCTCCAGAAGGGAAAAAAAAAATACGTAACTGTTGAATTCTGATTTTTTAAAGTTTGGAATATTTGCCTTTGTCTGTCTAATGTTTAATCTGTGTTTCCACATCACTGTATTGATCAGCACTTTGGGAAGAGTACAACATCAATGTGAGTCCCTCAAACTGAGGCTGACTTACAATATGGAGCGTCAGATGCTGTTGTGCTTCTACCTGTTATCCCTCCCTGGTCTCATAGCATCAGGCTTAATAGGCCAGCCTAGGAGCACTGGGGTATGTAACCATATTGTATGAATTAGCCACTCCTCCCATTATGTGGAGAGTAGTGGATGGGATGCACTTGGGAATAAAAAAGGGGTTCAAATCCATGGTGCCCAAAACAATGGGTCCCCCTGATGTGTAGCCTTATTCTGCTGGTATTGGGGATATGAGCCAATCTGAAATAGTCCAGATGCTCATGTTGAATCCTTCCAGGGAAAGTAAAAAACATTAGTTGAGGGGAGGAATAAAAGGACACACTCATTACAAGCTGTTAAGTGCACTGACCACAACTGCTTATTTTCCCTGAAATCCTTCCCCTTCCCCTAACACTGTCACAATTACTCAGGAAATTGTCCTTTTTACCCCTCCTTTGTACAAATATGAATTTTCTAGGTAGGACTCGACTCCAAGGAGGAGATAAAAAGGGACAAAAAATGACCAGAAGTTTCTATTGTCACGTTTTATAATCAGATGATTGTTACTGGTTTAGCTCTCTTTCCTAGTCCTTGAACTTGCTTTTATTTTGCAGAAGAGACAGACTCAGGGCACAGTAAGTAAACTTTTCATTCTTGGGAGAATGGTGATAGGCTATTGTGGGTTTTTTCCCCAGGCTTCACTAATAGCATGCAAATTCTGAAATGTTTAATCCAGCCACTCCTCTCATGCAGATGAGATTTTGGGTCTTCTTCCTGGGTGCTAAATAATTGGTTTGCAAGGGTTTGGCTTCTGATTTAGTCTCCCCCTTCAATGATGATTATCTTTAAAAGTCTGAACCACTCAGTGATTTCAAAGATCTTCGGTCTTTTTCAATCGGAACAGAGGATATTATCACCCATGGAACTAGATAAAAAGGAAGTTGAGAAAAGAGTTTTGTCAATCATTCCGAGACCTCAATAACAAAGCATAATCATTTTTCATCTATAGATCGTCAATGGAATAGAAATTCAGAGTATGAAAGTTAACTGCAGAGTCACCTCCCGATTTGCTAATTATGTGATCACCAGCCAAGCCATCAACCATGGCAGCTCCGCCAAGGAAATTGTCTTTGATGTTGAGATCCCCAAGACAGCCTACATTAGCAATTTCCTCCTGTGGGTAATCCCTTCCCCAACTTGTTCTGTGAATCAGAATGTGCAAATAAATCTACTTGGTGTCTAACTAGGGACCATCCCTAGGTCTTGAGAATCTCAGGGGACCCATATACCTAGTACCTGAGTCTGCAGTTCCTAAAGCCAAAGATAATAATTTGATTTACTCCATCCTTTTTTTTTTGCTCGATAGTTTTCTTTTCTATAGATACTACTAGCTTTAGGGAAAGAATCAGGGAACCTTGTCCAAAATCTTCCCGAAAGTGATGATGAAACTACGGGGCTCTTTGGGACAAGAATAGGCAGGGAAGGTTTCTGCTCTTGGGTTCCTCTGACCAAAAGAAAACTATTCATTATAGAACTAGTATTTGAGGAAGAAGGAAAAAGGGGCCAACTTTCCTGGCTTAGCTCTGGCCTTGGCCTTCACGTGATCAAATTGCTTGCTGGTTACTAAAAGTCACATGAAAACTATTTTAATCTCACTGCAGAAAGTAAACTGTAGGAAGACTTTAATTTTTTTTTTTTTGGCTTTTTGGTGAGGCGATTGGGGTTAAGTGACTTGCCCAGGGTCACACAGCTAATAAGTGTTAAGTGTCTGAGGCTGGATTTGAACTCAGGTCCTCCTGACTCCAAGGGCAGAGCTCTATTCACTGTACCACCTAGCTGTCCCCTGGAAGACTTTAATTCAAATCTGACCTTAGACACTTACTAGCTGTGTGACCCTGGGCAAATCACTTAACCTCTGTTTGCCTTAATCCACTGGAAAAGGAAACGGCAAACCACTCTAATATCCTTGCCAAGAAAACTCCACGGATGGTATGGTCCGCAGGGTCATGGAGCATCAGACATGCCTGAATAATAACAGCAGAAAGTAAGGGAGGATTTGATCACATACCCCCTACCCTTCAAACATTTACCTGATCTGTGGACTAGAGTGACTTTTTGCTTAAAGTCTACTGTGAGAAACTCCAGCATTCTCTAGACCAGGATATGTTCAGGCCAAGGAAGGCTGCGTGCACTCTGATCGGAATGGGCAGGGTTCTTCTGGGAAGTTATCTGCAGGCATCCCTTCAGGGACATGCATTTTACTACTGTGTCTTTTATTTCTTAACAGTACGGTGGATGGAGTCCCATATCCAGGAAATATTAAAGACAAGGTGATTGCCTGGAAGCAATACCGGAAAGCTGTTGTTCGAGGAGAGACTGCAGGTCTGGTAAGGTAAGCTCTTGCCTTGACTTCCTGTATGAGGTGATTGTGTGTGTGTGTGTGTGTGTGTGTGTGTGTGCTCATGTATGCTTGGAGGGATATAACTGGCCTGCGGAAATGCATGTGTATGTCAATGAGATTAGAGAGCTCCCCCAGAACCCTGAGTATTGAAATTTGCTTTACTCATTTAGTCCTTGCTAAGGAAAGGAATCTATAAGGACTGAGAACATCAGAGCTTGACTAGGAGAAAAAAATTGACCTAATCATGTTGGATTCACAAAGCAAGGCCTCTGAGTGAAAGGCAATGTTTGTTTAAGGGTGATGCTTTCAGAGTCATGAAAGTATAGAGATTAGTTTTCTTCTCCTTTTCCCTAGGGCCTCTGGGAGGAAAATGGAAAAATTCAACATTGCAGTCAACATCGGCACTGGCAGCAAAGTCAGCTTTGAGTTGACATATGAGGAGCTATTGAAGCGACACTTTGGAAAATATGAAATTGTCATTAAAGTTAAACCAAGGCAGCTGGTCAAACAGTTTGAGGTAAATCTCCCTGGGATTGACTCTCAGCATTTAGAGAGTGGACCCATGGCCTGTCTCTTGTTGTACCTCTTACAGGGTAGTTTGGAAGGAGGATTCCTAAATAGGCAAGTAGGGACCAGGGTGCTAGTATTAGTTTTGTTACCTCCTCATTCTGCAGCTTTGGGCAGGTCCCTTATCCTCTCTAAGCTCCAGTTTTCATATTTCTAAAATGAATGGATTGGAATAGATATTCCCTAAGGCCCCTAAGGGCCCTTTCAACTCTGATATTGTCAAAATCTTACTACATCCTCAATGGAGGTCCTTCATGTAAAGATAGATATAGTTATAAAGTATATCTCTGAACCATTGTGGTATAAAGGAAAGAATGTTGGTTAAGTTTAGAGTCAGAGGACTTGGGTACGAATCTGGGCCTTGCTACTTGCTAACTAGTTTTACAACTTTGGGCAAGTCATTTAACCTCCCTAGGTCTCAGTTTCTTCATATGTAAAATGGGGGGGTGGCCTTGGATCGAACACTTCTGAGGTATCTTTCAGTCTCAGATCCTATTAGTTGCTCAAGAGGGACTCCTCAGAAACTTTCCTCCTGGAGGATGAGCAATGGGGATTGAATCATGGACACTAGACTTTAGGACTGGCTTTTTGATGGGGGGCTCCATGATCCTTGGTGTGGTGGAAAGGCAAGCAAGATGTCACCCTGGTTATTTTGTGGCTCAAAGGATCCTCAGAGTAGGGTGAAGTTTAGTGCCTGAGAACCAGTTCCTTTTGATGTTCAGCACAGTTAAACCATGACAGGGAGAAAAAGATTAGAAAGTTAAATCACTTAAGGAAAGTATCACATCTAACACTAAAAAACAACCTACTGCTAGGCCTAAGGGACTAGAGCAATGCACTCACTCCTTCCTAAGGGTCCCCTTTGCTCTAAACCCATGTGGTCTGGACCAGTTTCAATCCTGGAGGGAGACTAGCCTCTAATGAGAGGTGTTAGACTTCCTTACTCACACTCCTCGGTTTGGTATCTCCCTACCTCCAGAACCTTGGGGAAGGTTGACTTATAGCTTAGGTTTTGGTTCTTATCTAGTTTCCTCAAAGAGAAGCAGAAAGATTCCCAAATTATAATATAAATCAGGCATCTATTTCCTACACACAAAAGAAAAGCTAACAGACACAAGAGATTCACAGTATGTGTTGACAGAACAACTTAAAAAGGATTCAGTAACTTATAACTGCTGTTATACTTTCTTAGGAAAATGATACTTAAACCACATCAGAACATAAAGCAGTTTGCAGGACTTCTGATTAGGTGTTTCAGATCTCACCTCAGCTCTGCACTGTGCAAACAACTCCTGACCTATGTCTTCAGGTTAAATGAACCAGGCTTGGTCCAATTCTCTTGTTGGAGGTCATCCTTTCCAAGAGTCCTGAAGCAGGGGTGGGAAATTCCTCTCCCTGTCTCTAGTCATCTCTGATCTGACTGGACACAGTACTTCCTGACCTCTGGGATTCATAAGGTTGCATTTAAGCCTGGGCACATCCATTTCAGGATGCTTGTTCACTCAAGATGAGAACAATAAAGAAAAAACACAAAAGAGGTAGCCCCAAACCCAAGTTCGGGTTTTCCTTAGCACGGCATAAACTCAAGATGGAGAACAGGGCAAATTACCCCTTTCCCGCTCTTCATATAAAGCAGCATGAAACAGTTCTGACGGTTGGAAGAGAAGAAAGATTTGAGGCTGGGGTCATCCTCTCTTAAATATCACCAGCTCCTCCTGCTTACCAGCCAGTAAGGGGACTTCGTCCTGTCACCTCAAAGCACAAGTTCTTCAGTACTGAGTCACACGTGACTGGAAGCAGTCTGCAGAATGTGCATGTGGTCAAGCAGAACAGGAAGGGCAATTCTAAGCATGCTCCATGGAATGGTCCTTGTTATTCATGTACCAGCAATAGGAGTTATCCTTTGTAAGCCCATCTCTAGTCATGATAATGAGACACAGGAGCTGGGACTAATGCCCTCTTCAGGTCTTCAGCAGTTGCTTTTTGATGACACTAGTGGAATATCAGTTAATTTTGAAAGGTATGATTAGGTTCAGGTGAGTCTCTGCCCTGTCCATCCCAGAATCTTAGAACTGCAAAACATTACAGTTTGAAGGAACCTTAGAGATCTCCTGGGTCAACATGTTCATTGTATAGAGTAGAGAGGCCTAGAGAGGCTGAGTGACTTGTCCTCCAGATCTACCTCTGAGAATCATTCAGAGAGTTAGTGGGAGAGGTGAGCCTATAACACAGGTCCCCCCACTTTCCAATCCAGCAAACTTTCTACCACCTCTGTGTATGGTGCTAAGTGAACTTTTTCTTTGAACATGTTAGGGCAAAGAGAGTTGACACCTCTGCCATTCTTTTAACTTGTTTCAGGTTGTACTTCTATGTTTTCCTGGGTACTGTTATGTTTGGGACAGAGGTGGATAGGGTGGAGGGGGGGGTCATACTATAATGTTTTTTTTTAAACTTTGAAGATTGAAGCAGACATCTTTGAACCACAAGAGATCAGCATGTTGGATGCTCAAGCATCTTTCCTTTCCGGGGACATGACCCAATTTATTGAAAAATCCTTCTCTGGAAAAAAGGTATGTTGAGTGATTCAAAAATACAGGCTTATATTTTCAACCCTGGGGACTTCTTCATTAAGTCTTTAAAAAAATCCTGCCACTAACCTCCTTAAGGTATAGTCTCAGACGTAGGAAAACTGAGCCAAAGGATATGCTCATTTTTGAATTTTTATATTTTATTTTTTCTCAATTTTATATAATAACAATTTTAAACATTCTTTTAAAAAACTTTGAGTCCTGAATTCTCTCCTTCCCTCTCCTCCCCCTCCTTGAGAAGGTAAGCAGTCTGATATGGCTTATATACGTGCAGTCATGCAAAACATATTTCCACATTAGCCATGTTGCAAAAGAAAACACAAACCAAAAAAAAAAAAAACCACAAGAAAAATAAAGTTTTAAAAGTATGCTTTAATTTATATTCAGATTCCATCAGTTCTTTCTCTGGAGGTGGATAGCATTTTTCATTGTAAGTCCTTTGGAATTTTCTTGGATCATTATATTGCTGAGAATAGCTAAGTCATTCACAGCTGATCATTGTACACTATTGCTGTTACTGTATACAATGTTCTCCTGGTTCTGCTCATTTCACCTTGCCTCAGTTCATGTTAAGTCTTCCCAGGTTTTTTTGAACCCATCCTTCTTGTCATTTCTTATAGCACAATAGTATTCTGTCTCAATCATATACCACAACTTGCTCAACCATTCCCTAGTTGATGGCCATCCTCTCAGTTTCCAATTCTTTGCCACCACAAAAAGAGCTGCTATAAATATTTTTGTACATGTAGGTCATTTTCCCTTTTTTATGATCTCTTTGAGATACAGACCTAGTAGTGGTATTGCTGAGTCAGAGGGCATGCCCTTTGAGCATAGCTCCAAATTGTTTTCCAAAGTGGTTATATTAGTTCACAACTCCAACAACAGTACATGAATGTACCTATTTTTCCACATCCCCTCCAGTATTTGTAATTTCTGAAAGATGTAAAGTGGTACCTCAGAGATGTTTTAATTTGCATTTCTCTAATCAATAATGATTTAAATATTTTTCACATGACTATAGAGAACTTTTTTTCTTCTTATGAAAATTGCCTGTTCATATCCTTTGACCATTTATCAATTGGGGAATGACTTATATGCTTATAAATTTGACTCAGTTCTCTATATGTTTGAGAAATGATGCCTTTATGAGAGACACTTGCTATGAAATTTTTTTCCCAGTTTTCTGCTTTCTTTCTAATCTTGGCTGTGTTGTGCAAAAACTTTTTAATTTAATTATAATCAAAATCATCCATTTTACATCCTGTAATACTCTCTGTCTCTTGTTTGGTAATAAATTCCTCCCTTATCTATAGAATTGACAGGTAAACTATTCCACACTCCCCAAATTTGCTTATAGCATTACCCTTTATATCTAAATCATGTACTCATTTTGACTTGGTATATACTCATCTTGGTATATGGTGTGAGGTGTTGATCTATAGCTGTTGTTCAGTTGTTTTTCAGTAATGTCTGACTCTTCATAAACCCGTTTGGGATTTTCTTGGCAAAGATACTGGAAGGGTTTGATATATCCTTCTCTAGCTCATTTTATAGATGAGGGAATGAGGCAAACAGGGTTAAGTGACTTGCTTAGGGTCACATAGCTAGTAAGTGTCGGAGGCCAGATTTGAACTGAGGGAGATGAGTCTTCCTGACTCCAGGCTCAGCGTTCTATCAATTCCATCACTTAGCTGTCCTGGTCTATACCTAGTTTCTGACAAACTGTTTTCCAGTTTTCTCAGCAGTTCTTGTCCCAAAAGTTTGGCACTTTGTGTTTATCAAACACAAGATTATGATGGTCTTTTCCTAATGTATTGTGTACCTAATCTTTTCAACTAATGCACTACTCTATTTCTTAGCCAGTACCAGATTGTTTTGATGATTACCACTTGCAATACAGTTTGAGATTTGGTACTGCTAGGCCACCTTCCTTCATTTTTTTCCCTCATTAATTCCCTTGATATTCTTGACCTTTTGTTCTTCTAAATGAATTATGTTATTTTTTTCTAGCTCCATAAAATAATTTTTGGTAGTTTGGTACGGCACTGAATAAGTAAATTAATTTAGGTAGAATTGTCATTTTTGTTATACTGGCTCAGCCATTGAGCAATTAATATTTTTCCAATTGGTTAGATCTGACTTTTTTTGTATGAAAAGTGTTTTGTAATTGTGTTTGTATAGTTTCTCTGTTTGTCTGGGCAGGTAGATTCCTAAGTATTTTGTATTGTCTACAGTTATTTTAAATGGAATTTCTCTTTCTGTCTCTTCCTTCTGGACTTTGTTGGTAATATATGGAATGCTGATGATTTATATGGGTTTATTTTACATACTGTGACTCTGCTAAAATTGGTAATTATTTCAACTAGTTTTTTTAGTTGGTATTCTCTGATATTAATCAAGAATACCATCATATCATCTGCAAAGAGTGATAATTTTGTTTCCTTATTACCTATTGTAATTATTTCAATTTCTTTTTCTTCTCTTATTGTTATAGCTAGTATTTCTAGTACAGTATTGAATAATAATAGTGATGATGGGCAATCCTTGCTTTGCCCTGATCTTACTGGGAAGGCTTTTAGCATATCCTCATTATAAATAATACTTGCTATTAGTTTTAGATAAATACTACTTTTCATTTTAAGGAAAGCTCCATTTATTTCTATGCTTTTTAGAGTTTTTAGTAGGAAGGAGTGTTGTATTTTGTCAAGAGCCTTTTCTGTATCTATTGACATAATCATATAACTTTTGTTGGTTTTCTTGTTGATATGGTCAATTATGCTAATAGTTTTCCTAATATTAAATTAGTCCTACATTCCTATAAATCCCACCTGGTCACAGCGTATGATCTTTGTGATATATTGATGTAACCTCCTTGCTAGTATTTTATTTAAAATTTTTGAAGCTATTATTTATTAGGGAAATTGGTCTGTAGCTTTCTTTCTCTATTTTAGCTCTTCCTGGTTTAGTATAAGCACCACATTTGTGTCATAAAAGGAATTGGGTAGGATTCCTTTTTTGTTTATTTTCCCAAATAGCTTATATAGCACTGGAACTAATTGTTCTTTAAATATTTGGTAGAATTCACTTGTGAATCCAACTGGTCCTGAGAATTTTTTCTTAGGGGGTTCATTGATGGCTTGTCTACTTCCTCTTCTGTTAATCTGGGCATCTTACATTTTTGTAAATATTCGTTCATTTCACTTGGATTGTCAGATTTTTTTGGCATATAACTGGATAAAATACCTCCTAATAATTGCTTTAATTTCCTCTTCATTGGTGGTGAATTCACCCTTTTCATTTTTGATGTTAGTAATTTGGTTTTTTTTAAAAAAATAAAATTAACCAATGGTCTATTTTATTTTTTCCCATAAAACCAATTTCTAGTTTTATTTATTAGTTTAATGGCTTTCATATTTTCAGTTTTATTAATCTCTCCTCTGATTTTCAGGATTTCCAATTTGGTATCTAATTGGTTGTTTTTTTTAATGTGTTCTCTTTCTAGTTTTTTTTTTTAGTTGCATGCCCAATTCATTGATCTATTCTTTCCATATTTTATTGATGTAAGCATTCAGAGATATAAAATTTCCTTTAAGTATTGCTTTGACTCATAAATTTTGGTATATTGTTTCATTGTCATTCTCTTCAATGAAATTATTGTTTCTATAATCTGTTTTTCAACCCACTCATTATTTAGGATTGGATTATTTAATCTCCAATTAATTTTCAATCTATGTTTCCATGGCCCTTTGTTCAATATTATTTTTATTGCATTATGATATGAAAAGGACACATTTAATTTTTCTGCATCTGGTTGTGAGGTTTGTATGCCCTAATACATGGTAAGTTTTTGTATAGGTGCCATGTACCACTGAGAAAAAGGTATATTTCTTCTATTCCCATTCAGTTTTCTCCAGAGGTCCATCATATCTAACTTTTCTAAAATTCTATTCATCCTGCTAATTTATTTCTTGTTTATTTTTTGACTAGATTTATGTAGTTTTGAGAGTGAAAATTTGAGGTTCCCCACTAGTATAGTTTTATTGTCTATTTCCTCCTGTAACTCATTTAACCTTTCCTTTAAGAATATAGATGCTATACCATTTGGTGCTTAGATATTTAATATTGATATTACTTCATTGTCTATGGTATCTTTTAGAAAGATGTAGTTTCCTTGCTTAAGTCTTTTAATTAGATCTATTTTTGCTTTTCTTTGTCTGAGATTACAATTGCTATCCTGCTTTTTTTTTTTTACTTCAGCTGAAGCATAATAGATTCTGCTCCAGTCCTTTACCTTTACTCTATGTGTGTCTCTCTACTTCAAATGTGTTCTTATAAACAACATACTGTAGGATTCTGGTTTTCCATCCACTCTACTGTCCACTTTTGTTTTATGGGTGACTTCACCACATTCACATTTGCAGTTATGATTACAACTGTGTATTTCCCTCTATCCTATTTTCCACCTATTTATCCTTCTCCCTCTCTCTCCTTTTATCCTGTCTCTCCTTAAAGGTATTTTGCTTCTGACCACCACCTTCCCCAATCTGCCCTGATTTCTACTAGCCTCTACCTTCACTAATCCCCCTTCCCTCCTACTTTCCTGTAGGGTAAGATAGGTTTCTATGCCCAACTGAGTGTATATTTTATTCCGTCTTTCAGCTAATTCCAATGAGGGTAAGGTTCAAGTGTGACCTGCCACTTCCTATCTTTTCCTCCATTGTAAAGGCTCTTTTGCACCTATGTGAGATAATTTACCTCATTCCACGTCTCCCTTCCCCCCTTTCCCTATGCATCAATTTTTCTCACTTCTTAATTTTGTTTGTTTTTTGGATATCATAGTCAACTCACACCTCTGCCCTCTGTCTATGTATATTCTTTCTAACTACCCTAATAATGACAAAGTTTTTAGGAGTAACACATATCATTTTCCTATATAGGAATGTAAACAGTTTAATCTTACTGAATCTCTTACCATTATCCTT